GCCCTTCGCGCTGTGCGGTCCCGGCGCCGGTCCCGGGGCGGGCCGCGGGCGGAGGAGGCTGCGTGGCTGTGGAGGGCAGCGAGGAAGCCCAGGGGGGTGTTTGGCAATAGGAGCGGGCAATGCAGGCGGGCAGCACGGACTGATGGCCGGAGCCAGCCGCCTCGTAAGGCGCTGGGGAGGACAGGCACGTTTCCCACCCTGTGCGCATAGCCTGGGGGGCCGCTGTGCTCCTCTAGTCTGAGCTCCTGTACAACACAACCGGGTCAGGCGGGGTAGGCCATGAAGAGAGTTGGAAGTGACGGCGCACAGCTTAGGTTTGATGGGCTGGAGGAAGGGGACCCAGAGGAGTGCAAAGGGGAGCGCGGGGGGAGTGACAGGGTCAAACCAACAGGTTTGCAGCAACATTATAAATGGACGAGCGGGACAAGATTGCATTGGCTCCGGCTAGAGAGCAGGGTGGTGCAGAGAGCAGGGTGGTGCAGAAATGGAGATGAGATCGGAGGAGAGTTTTAGCTGTGTGGATGGGAAGGATGCAAAAAACCGCAGCAAGATGTAAACGCAGGAGGTGAAGCGCTAGGGAGAGGCCCGAGTCAAAGGGGAGGCCCAGGTTATGGGCCCAAGTGTCAGGTAGAATGGTGGCCTTGTCCACAGTGATTGAAAAATGAGAGAGCGGGGAGAGTTTGGGGGAGAAGATAAGGGCTTTATTTGAGCCATGTTGATCTTGAGCTGCCTGCTAGACATCCCTGAAGAGAGGTCAGAGACAGGGAGAGGTTGTCGTTTGGACAGAAGGAGACGGATGTGGAGTAGATCTGTGATCAGCACAGAAATGGTAGTTGCATTTGTTTTTGCAGATGAGATTACCTAGAGCTAAGGTACAGAGGAAGAAGAGCAGGGGACCAAGGACAGAGCCCTATGGAGCCCCCACAGAAAGGGGAGGGGAGATGAGGACCCTCTGGAGGCACTGAAGTAACCACTAAAGAGATAGGAGGAGAACTTGGAGGGACAGAGTCATGGAAGCCAAGGGAACACGGTCAATGGTGCCAACAGCAGCTAACCAGGAGGATGAGGCTGGAGCGCTGGCTCTGACGTGTGGCTAGGGAGAGGACATCAGAGACCTTGGCATGAGCAGTTTCAGTGGAATGCAAGAGGCGGAAGCTGGACTAGAGGGGGTCTAGGATGGGATTGGAGCGATAGCAATTGTAGACAGTATGTTCAATGGGCGTAGAGTGAAGAACATGAGAAGGGCCAGACTGGGTCAGACCAAAGGTCCATCTAGCCCAGTATCCTGTCTGCTGACAGTGGCCAATGCCAGGTGCCCAGAGGGAATGAACAGATCAGGTCATCGTCAAGTGAGCCATCCCATCGCCCATTCCCAGCATCTGGCAAACAGGAGGAAGGAAGGAAAGAAGGAGATGGGGTAGCAGTTAGCGAGGCAAGAGGGGGGTCCAGGGTTAGGTTTTTAAAGATGAGAGAGACCAAAGCATGCCTGTACTATGAGGGGTCCAAGTGAGAGGCTGCGGGGAGGGATAGTTCAGTGGTTTGAGCATTGGCCTGCTAAACCCAGGGTTCTGAGTTCAATCCTTGAGGGGGCCACTTAAGGATCTGGGGCAAAATCAGTACTTGGTTTTGCTAGTGAAGGCCGGGGGCTGGACTCGATGACCTTTCGAGGTCCCTTCCAGTTCTAGGAGATAGGTATATCTCCATATATTAAAAAAAAAAAACACAAACAAAAAAAGAGTAAAGGAGGGTTTAAGGATGGGGATGGGCCGTTGGGGCAAGTAATGGGGTTAGAGGAGGAGAGCAGATGAAAAATCATGGGACTGGAAGGGATCTCAAGAGGTTGTCTAGGCCAGTCCCCTGCACTCCTGGCCAGACTAAGTATCTAGACCATCCCTGACAGGTGTTTGTCTAACCTGCTCTTAAAAATCTCCAGTGATGGAGATTCCACAACCTCCCTAGGCAATTTATCCCAGTGCTTAACCACCCTGACAGTTAAAAATTTTTTCCTAATGTCCAACCTAAACCGCCCTTGCTGCAATTTAAGCCCATTGCTTCTTGTTTGCATCTGTGACGGGAGAAGGAGGAGACAGTGGTGGGAAGGGAAAGCTAGCTGAGGGGAGCAGGAATGTCCTCTCATCTCTGTCAGTTTTCTCTGGGAAGAAGTTGACAAGGTCGGTGTAGAGAGGGAAATGGAGGCGGGTTTGAGGTGTGAGTCAAAGGTGGTGAAAAGGCAGCTGGGCTTGCGCGGGATTCAATAAAGTTGGACAAGTAGAGCTGTTTAGCCAGGAAGATGGTAGAAGAGATCACATTTGTAATCGAGGAATTTAGCCAGGTCACAGGATTTCTGCCAGAGACATTTCACTGCACAAGGCAGGAGTGGGGGAAGCAGATGTTGGAGGAGAGAGAGGGCTGAGGGTCAGCAGAGAGGAGAGATGAAGAGAGGAGCAGAAGAGTCAGGTGGCAGAATGAAACATGGAGAGAATCAAGAGCCATCTCAATGGAAGAAAGGAAAGGGAGGGCAGGGCAGGGCAGAAAACAGCAGAGAAGTAGCCAGTGCTGGTGCACGGGAAGTCACAGAAAGGCCAAGTGAGGCGGTGTGAGGAGGGGCTGCTGAAAGAGATCAGGTGGTGGTTGGAGAGGGAACTTGGGAACCGCAAGAGCAGGGCTTGGCGAAGACTCAGTCAAGGGGACAGGCACTTGGTGAGTTATAATTTGAGTCACACATTGATTAGCCTCTGTGCCTCCTTATTGGGCAATGTTGTTCTCTTCCCCCAGAAGCAGAGAGAACAGAGCTGCCGTACAGGAGCCACAGGTGGGGGTGACTGTTCTAGTAGAGATGGTTCCTATGGGGTGGGGCTGGGCCTTTCCTGGTGGAGGAGCTGAGAACGGAATAGTTAGGGGAAGGGAAATCCATTTTCCATATCTCCCTTCAGAGTGGAGGGGCTGCTGTCAGCAAGGTCCCTGACCTCAGCCACGTAGCTCTCCTGTGCTGCAGGGCATGGCTTTCTCTAGCAGTGCGTGTGAAAGTGTATCACGACTCTTCTCTTGCTGTCTGTTTCAGGTGAGTGGCAGTGGCTGAGCGACTCCCCCTCTTTGCTGCCTCCCTGCCCCGGTGCAGTAAATTTCTATTCTCAGTATGGCCGCGATGCTACGTTCACTGACAAGGCGGTGGGGCGACCTTTCAGAAGTCTGCACGCACACCACTTGCAGCTCCTGGAGTGGCAGGGCCAGCCGCACAAAGTGTTCTCTGTCCAAGGCGAGCGTGCCAAGCACTACCACTTGATCCTGCCCTCCTTCTTCCACCTCCTGGAGACGTTGCACCGGGAGGGGAGGCACTTCGCTGTCGTCTTCAGAACCTTTGGCACAGACCTCCCCCGCATTCTCCATGCAGTGCACTGTGCCTTGGAGGGGCAGCACCCCCAGTTCCCTGCCCTGCGAGACCTCTCGGTGGGTGCACCCTGGAGGGCCTTCCTGGAAGCAGAGGGCTGAGATCTTTGGGGTTTTTTTCCCCCACAGTAGCTTCTTCGAACATATTCTGAGCCGCCTTTCCAGGCAGCCCCGTGCTCCATAAGCCAGACTCCCACTTGAACTGCTGCCTTATTAAAATGCTGACCTTTGGGTAGCAGCCATTTACACAGCTTCTCAGAAGAGCCTTTTAGCTGGAGAGCATGTGAGCAAGTGAGCGCTGTCCAAATCCCTCCTGAGGCTTGTGAATTTCCATGTGCTTGTGCTCCCCAGGGAGTCTGTGCGGGAGGAGGTCGCCTATCCGTGTGGGCCGGGTTAGGTCAAGAGATTCCTGTGCCCTCTGGTATGGCCAGGGGAACCCTCTGCTTAGAGCATCGCTGACGAAGTCACCCTCCCAGAGCAGGGAGTGGGACTAAAAACCCCGGGCTCAAACTGGCTGTTTTGTGGCGCCTGTGCATGGGGTTGTGGGGGCAAACACACCTTGTGCTGTGGGAAGTTAACCCACTTACAGAAATGGAAATCCGCTGCATGCGAAGGACCAAGCTGGCGGCTGGATTCTGACAGACGCAGCCAGCAGCCCGTCTGCTTCCACTGCCCGGGGGGTGAACTCGTCAGGCTCCCAAATGTCTCCCTTCCCCTCTCTGCAGCGTGCTGCACACGCTGCCTTTGGCCCTGGTGGCTGTTTGGGGAGCTCGCGGTTGTCACTGGTTGCCGTGTGTCTGGTTTGCAAACCTTCCATCCTGTCTCCTCTCAATGACATTGCAGCTCCCGGTGGAGCTGACTGCGGGCCGAATACGCTGCAGTGGGCACGAGGTGGTGCTGCGCCGGGGGCCGGAGCACGTTTCCACCAGGGACGACGGGAGGAAGCTGTACAGCTATTTCAGCTCCCTGCAAGGCCTGGGCGGCTTCCAGGACCACTTTGATTGGTGAGACCCAAGAGGGGCCTGGGACGTGGCTTGAGCTTCTCTCCCGCTCCTTGCCCAGTTCCACCGTCCCTGCCAGCCCGCGTCTCGTCCCTCCCTTGTGCCATCCTCAGGAATTCCCCTCGCTCCCTGGGGCTCATGCCCAGGGGTCGGCTGCTCTGCTGTTGTGGCCGCCTGTGGCACATGCTCTTTGTTTAGCCAAGCCAGACAGAGCTAGCTTCTTCCCTTGTAAGCCCATCTCCTCCTGTCCCTCTTGCTCGTCTCTGAACTCCCTCCAGTTGGTGACTCACCCTGGCGAGGAGTGAAGGCAGAATCCCTGATGGCGTGCCCCGGAGTCAGAGAGAAGACCGCTATTTCCCCTTGCCCCATTTCCTGTCATCGCCGGGGAAGATGGCTCCCGGGTTTGGACTGACTTGAGTTCCTGAAGATAGTCTTGAGCAGTCCAGGCCTGGGGCTGCTGTGTGCTGCAGAGAGTCAGCTCCCTGAGGGGTGCCTGTTGTCCCACTTGCTGTATTTCAGGTGGGCCAGAAATCAGTTCTCCTGCCGGGGTGGCAAGCCCCTTTGGATTGACCCACACGACTCTAGTGTGCATCACATCTGCATCGATGACAACATTCGACTGAACGATTCAGACACCATCATTTGTCCCCAGGTACTCAGCCCTGCCTTCCACTGGGCTTTCAGGCCCCTCCCAGGGACTGCCAGGCCCCCTGGCTGGAGACAGTGGTGTGCTGGACTCCTCTGCCCTAGCCTGTCCCCAAGGAGTGCAGCAGGGTGGAACTGGGGCCAGGAGGCTGGACTCGGTGGGAACAATCGATGCATCTGCTGAGGATTAGAATGAACTCATTTGTTGGCACAAAACAGCAGGTGTCTTTTTTCCTGCACTTGCTGCATAGCTCTGTCTGTCCTCCGCTGGCATGAGTCATGCTTACTCCCTGCTGGGACCCAGTTGCCAGCCAGCCTGCCTTTGAGTGAGGCTGAAGCTCGTTCACGTTGCTGGATTTAAAGGGCAGCTTTCACACTGGAGCATGCTCGAGAGCAAAGAACATGTAGAGACAGGAATGTGCCTGGCCTGTCACTCGCTATTGTAGCACTGTGTGTGTTCGAATAGCAGCCTTTCCTTCCCAGCACAGCAGAGGAGGCTGTCTCCTTTGCTGGTGTGGCGTGGGAGGGAGCGTGGGCTAGCAGCCAGAGGGGCGGCAGGGCACAAAAGGTTAATTGGACTTTTCACCAACATGAAAGTCTCTCTTGACTATTAGCTGTCTTGTTCGTGATACGGACTGTTGTTGGCCCCAGGAGAGCCCTTAGCCGGGGGAGGTTGATTTCTGATAAATAATGTCGAAGGCACTTTGTGGAGCGGGAGTCTCCTGCCTGCAGGCAGCTTCTCCCTGATTGTCTGCTGCCAGGAAGCCAGGTTCACCCAACCCATTTGCTGAATGTCTGCTTGAGCCCCGTTCGCCTGCAGGGAACCTGTCCCTTCTCCACCCCGAACCGAGCCCCAGTTCAGGCTGGCTGACTCCAGAGCAGGCTCGTTGGGCCGTGGTCAGAGAGAGGCCGCTCTAGCCGCAGACTCGGCTGGGCTCGGAACATGCAGCTGGGCTCAGAACATGCCAAGTCTGTCGTCAGCGCTCTGCTGGCTGCGTGAGTCAGGCGAGACTCCAGCTTGCTCGCCGCTGGCTGTGCCAGCCCTGCGCTGCCACCTGGAGTAAGTGTCAGTGAAATCGGCAGCTACCCTCAGACAGCTGGGGAGCGCAGCTGTGCGTGTGGGGAACAGCTCTCTGCCTCCTGAAAAGCCCGCTCCATCTCGTGGGGCTGGGAGGGTGAATCCACTAGTGGCTGGGAGCTGCTCAGGACTCGGGGCTGGGGCCACGCAGCAGCCTAGTCAGCTAATGGAGGGTCTGTTCTTGGCCGCACTTTCCTGGGCGTAACTTCTCTAAAGTACGGCTTTCCCCCGGCTGTGTATTGCGCTTCTCCCTCCCTTGGGAAAGGCTCAGCTTTGTGGTTTGAGTAGCCAGTTCCTGCCATGGGAGACTGGTGCAGAGTGGTGGGGAGGGAGGCCGGAAGGGGGGCTGGAGAAACCTGATCTCTTGTTGACACCATAATGGAGGAAGGGTGGCAGCTTTCTGCCTCTGCCACCCTCCCAGCTCTGGAGCAGATCCATGCACTTCACCTTACAAGCAGAGAGGAGGAATGAAAGAACCAGACTTACAAATCGAGCTGTCTCCAGGACATCTGCTCTTCATCTCCTGGCAGTGCACTTGTGCAGAGGGTAGCCCCGGCACCCCCTATCCTGCTGCTCTCCAGCCTCTCACACCTGCCATTCCTCCGGGGTGGGGTAAAAGCCTCAGCTTCACTGTCCCTTCTTCTTTTCCCCCTTGCAGGTGTTTTCAGGGAGAGGAGGCAGCTGCGCCAGGCCAGTTCCCACCTCGGAGCTGTATGATGTCTGCCTGGTGCAGACCAATCTCCTGGAGGCCATTGCTGATGAGAGCTATTTCCTCCGCTGCGTGAGAAGGTGTGAGGAGAACTATGAGCGCTACCTGGCCAGTGTTGAGAGCCAGCTGTGTGACGCAGAGTAGAGTCACTCCGGACCCAGCAGCTGGAGGGGGGACGTGGGGTCCTGTGGGCTGCTCCCAGTTTGCAGCTGTCTGCAGTTTGATTCCTAGGCTGGGCCCCGGGCCCCGTCGCACCCACATCCCAGTGGAACCGATGCACTTGCTTTTAGCTGTCCTCCCCTTCTTCCGGACTGGTGTGTGCGTCTGAGCTGGAGGCAGGAAGCTCCAGACACCCTTCAGAAATGCAAGTGTCTGCCTGATGCAGGAGGAAACTGCTTCCAGCCGTGCCCCGTCTCAGCAGCACTTTCTCACTCTTGGTGGGGTTTGGGGTTTTTGATCTTGCCTCTCAAGATGCCTGGCTGGGCAGTGCTCCTGCGGGTGATCGGTGTGTATCCCCCTTGGCTCTGTGTGGAAGGGACTGTCTCTCTGTTATGTTTCTACAGCGGGCTTGGCACACTAGCTGTGCTGCAGTACCAATAGTTGTCATAATTGTGACAAAGTGGGACTGGTCTTAATGTTTCCTCTGAATACTGTGTGGGTGCCTCAGTTTCCCCTGTGCATTTCTTAAATCTCCACTGTGCATAAATGGCTGACAATCTGTCTCCTAGCAACAAATGGCCGGGGCCCTTTCCCCCCCCTGCAAGGAAATAGCTAAAGGTGAACAAAAAGATCAGGTGACCTCCTGGCCCAGGAAAGAGACAAAGCCCAGACACGGAGGGGCTGGAGGGGTTTTCAGTTTGGGGCTGGTTGGGGACCGGGAGTGAGGGCAGATGGGGTGGTCTGGCTTGCTGGGCCCCAGAATGGACCCGGCTGAGGGGTCCCGTTCTCTGTACCTACAAGCTCTGTTTTAGACCATGTTCCTGTCATCTAATAAACCTCTGTTTTCCTGGCTGGCCAAGAGTCACGTCTGACTGCGAAGTGGGGGGGCAGGATCCTCTGGCTTCCTCAGGACCCCGCCTGGGCAGACTCACTGTGGGAAGCGCACGGAGGGGCATATACTGAATGCTCCCAGGAGGTGAAGCCGTGTGAGTTTCTAGCCCTGAATACAGTCTGCTCCGAGGGAGAGGAGGCTCCCCAAAGTCCTGACTGGCTTTGTGGGGAGCAGTTCCAGAGCATCGCCCGGGGACTCCATGACAATAATCCTCTGCTGTGTTTTACTTCCTGTGCTAAGGATCTCGCATTGTACAGGCTTATTTCATTAGAATACCAGTGTGTGGGTAACATCACCCCCTGGGCAGCTGGGGTAATTACTCAGGGCTGTCTTCACTCAGACCTGGCTGTGTGCCAGTCCACAGCACGCCTACAAGTAACAGGGTATTGCTCTCTGTCGCTTCTGAAGGGAGACTCCTGCCACTTGGCTTCCAGCCCGGTGCAGGTGGAGCAGGCCCCTAGCGGGAATGTTGCTAATAAGACTTTGATAAGGGGATGACAGTGGTGACAGGGCACTGGGCGGGGACGCAATGACCTTCATTCTAGTCCTGTCTCTGACGTGCTGGGTGATCTTGGGTGCCCATGCACCACCAATATGAGAGCACGGGGCCAGGTCTCTCCCCTGGCCCCTCCTGCTGCCACCCCCGGAGCATCCCCCCACCCCTGCTTGCTGCCCCTGGGCAATTTAAAAGGACCCGGGGCCACCACCACTGGCAGCGCAGCGGGACTAAGGCGCCTTCCTGCCTGCCCGCTCCACTTCCGGAAGCGGCCAGCATGTCCCTGCAGGCCAGGATGGGCTGTGTCTCTGTGCGCTGCCCCCACCCTGAGCGCCGACTCTGCCAACTGCGGCAATGGGAGCTGTGGG